GGTGCAACTTGAGCAACAAGGTCGTAAAAAGTATTGTATGAACACGTAAAAAGTAAAGAGGTTATAGACATAGCCTAGGATCTTAAGATCAGGTTGTTTCACTTTGTCGTTTGCTAAACTTTTCGACGTCGGTTAAAGTTTTAAGGGTTCAAATTTTAACTTCTCGGGTACTATAGCTTATAGGGCCGTTTAATATCAACTACTTTTAAATTATCATAATTTGTTCATAACATTTATTTTCAACAACCTGTGTTTAAATATCTAATATACAATATGCATGCATTTGTTTTTGCAAGAATGAAATAATGAATAAAAAGAACCTTTTAAAAAAATTGAACTAAGCAATTAAATCATGAGCGAAATCACTCAAGGTAAACCCTTTTATATAGTTGATTTATTAATGCACTTTTATTAATTTGTGAAACCAACAACTTGTAAGTTAATTGGATGACATTGATCAGCAACGCTTTGGTCATATAAGTTGTAGAAGTTACCTGATAAACATTGATAGAAAACACTTTGTTCACCTAAAGCTAAAACACCAGATGGGGTGATTGACCAACCAGCAGCATAAATAGCACCTTCTTGTGGTGGTGGACCATCAAATTGGAATTGTCTGTTTGAAACAATTGAACCAATTCTACCATTTGAATCTTGTAAAACAGATTTTTCTAATTTAATTGATAAAGTACCATCTTGTTTTTGAGTAGTTTGTTTAATATAAGATTTTGGATCAGCTTGAGGATTACCGTCATCTCTCTTGGAGTTTGAAGTACCTGAAGCTTGAGCAGCAGCTGGGTCAACAGTAACAACACCAATACCAAAAGTTGAATCTAAATCAGTTGCAGCACCTGAAGGAGCTGAAGCAGTTGGAGTTAATGTGGTGAAACTTGATTGATCAGCTGGTAAAGTTGCTGATTGAACTGAAGCTGCTAAAACAGCTGAAGTGAAGACCGATGAGAATTTCATTATTAATTATTATATGTAATTGTATAGGTTTATAAGCGATTGTATTGATAAGTTCCCTTTTCTTTCAAGATACAAGATCTTTAAAATGTATTAAAATGGAGTGGGAATTGAATATTTATATAGTTTTATGGGAAGTGTATGGAAAGTATTGAAAGCTGATGTGGTTCGTAATAGATTTACCAGTTTTGTTTATTGTGAATTTGAAATTTCCACTAGTAATACAGTGATATTGGCTATACAAGTTAAAAGTTTTATATGTAAATCATTGGAGAATGTTTAGGATTGCACTATTGAGGTAATGGGTAATAAAACTATAATTAGAATGCCAGCCTTTTAGCAAACGAGAGGGACAATACAAACAATACAAACCAAAACCAGTGAAATACATCTATCTAATTACTATATACTATTACAATCACTTCTTCTATTACTTCTTCATAGTAAGTAGCTGTCTTCTCTTTATATGCACAAAGTACGTGCCCCTGACATGGTGCGTCACCATCGCGATTAGGTGAACTTGGCTTAAGTAAACACAGTAGACCAGTAATAAACCATGGCTTATGAGCTATTAGATACGCGTTTATCCCTTCATTCTCTGCCTATTCTGTTCCCTTGGGCTCATAGGCTCATAGGCTCATAGGCTCATAGGCTCATAGGCTCATAAGCTCATAAGTTCATGGGCTCCTTCCCTTCTTCACACTGGAATTTGGGAGTTGGTTGAGGCATTGTTGGATCGTCTGTTTACCAATAAATACGTTCCTTTGCGATTTGGAAAAACCACAATTTGCACACTTCTAGAATCAAAGCTAACGACTTTGGTAATACACATTACTATATTGGGAATAACTTATTGATTTTATCCACAATTAAGCATATATTCACGTCAAAATTTATTCAGATTTCATAGACTAACGTTAGAGGTGGTATAGATATTACTAGTCAAAGGGGTTTATTCGTTGATCTGGTAAGGAAGTATAGATTCTCGATACACGTTGGATTTTAGTACGTAGAATTAATCTAATTCAACGTGAATGTTTATATTTAAGCCTTACATTCCTTTGAATTTGAGTGTTGATGTTTAAATTTCATCCTAGATCGTGTTTTATTCAGTTGATTGTTTTGATCTTATTGTACTATTGTACTATAGCCTATTATATGGTAGATGAACACCATTGGTGATATTTACATATTGCCTATAGAGCAATTTTATGGCAAGATTAATTGAAATCTATGCTGGGCCAAGAAATAGGCTATAGTATAAATTAATGTCTATCAAATCATAATTCTTCTACAATAAGGTACCCAATTATAGTCATAAAATTAACCTTCATTTCATCATGTGTCATTATATTCATCCAAAATTATAAACCCTTTTTACGTCCCAGTACTTAAACCCCTTTTTCTTTTCTTTGATCTCAATTCAAATATAATGATCTTTCATATGGTTCAATTGTTCCATTATTATGAACTTCATTTGAATATCTATTATCTTTACTAACTTCATAATTTGTTTTATATCCTTTATTATAAAAAATTGGTATTGGATATTTTATTCCAGTTATAAAATCTTCTTTAATTAATAATGATATATCATTAATCACCAGGTAATTTAAATTTTTAAAATTTTCCACAATTGGATCTAAATCAACCTTCATACAATGAACTAAACAATGAAATAAATTATAAAAATCTTCAACATTTAAAGGTTTAAAAAATCTTGATCTTTCAATATTTTGAATATTAAAACGATGTAAAAATTCTTCAATATTATCTGGTCCTGTTTTAACACTTGGATATCTATCAACAGCTTTTGAATATGGTGATAAACATGATTCAAATAATTGTGAAAAAAAATCAATTTTTTCATAAGTTTCTAAACTATCAATTTTATAATCTTCAGATTTTGGTAAAATTTTATCTTGAAAAATTTTTTTATGAACAATTTCTTGACATAAAAAGCAATTACATGCAATTTTTAAAACAATTCCAAAATCTCTTATATCCATATTTATAATCTTTGTAGTTAAATTTAATTTTATATCTAAAAATTGTAAATGATGTCTATGATTAAAAATTGATTTGAAAACCATGGAATTTCTAACCATTGATCTTTTTGGATATGAAAAATCTAATTTCAATCTTTTCAATTTATAACAATTATCAAGTAAAGTTGAAATTTTTTTATCATTATATGTAACTGCAATTAATGTTATATCTTCTAAATTATGAAATTCTGACCATTGATCAAATTTATATATCCTATCAGGTGATATATGATCATACCATGATATTATTGTTAAAGTTTTCAGTAATTTTGTATCGAAAATATCACTTAATTTGGAAAATTTTAAATTTTGACGATTATAAATAACTGGTGGATATGTATCAGGTCTGCAATGCATTTTGAATGAATCAATTTCTAATTTTTTTAAAGGTCTAACAACATTATTGAATAATAGTAATGGATCCATGAATAATGTCATAACTTTAATATTTGTATTTAATCTCTTTATCAAGTATCTTTGAGCATTTGGTAAATAATTTTGATCAATATCTAATGATGGTAATGTGCTTGGTGGTGGTAAATCTAATGAAATTAAATTTGAATTATGAAAATTTTCTTCAATTGCAAAATCAAATTCAGGATCTGTTACATTTTCAATAATTTTTAAACTTTTAGAATATTTTGTAATAAATGAAACAAAAGTTTTTTGAGTTTCTATATCAAGATCCCAATTTAATCGAACTTCTTGAATATAATTTGATAATTGTGGATTCTCCTGTATTGATCTTAAAAGACATGATAATTGATAATTTGCAACTTCTTTTGCCTCTTCATTTGTTGCTTTGGGTAGTAATTTTAACCAAGACCAAGTACTTGCCAGTAATACAACATCACTGTTCTCTATGGGTGAATCATTTAAGTATATTTTTGAATATAGTATTCTTGTTGCCATTTTATAAAATAATTTACATGCTAATGTCAAATTTATTAAATCATCTTGAATTAGTTGTGATGTTATATGTTGAACAATTTCATATGGTAATTGAAATATATGCCTTATTCGACATTCTTCACCACCAAATCTAAGTTCCATTATCTAGCAACCTTATGACAGCTTGGATGAATATGTAGAACCTTTAAATTATAATATTGTATCACTTTTATTGTAAAGCAACACCTTCTCAAAATTTGAGAATATAGAATCAATGTCAACTCGGTAATTGCAGCAAATTAACACACACTCAATATAGAAACCAGTCTTCGAACAAATGAGAGCACAGTAACTTGAAAGAGCCTAGTTTTATGGTATACTTTTGTTTCTGAGCTCAGAACTCTTTGAAAACCAATCAAAATCTATCGATTTGATGAAGTTCAAATAGATTTAAAATCATTAAAAATGTCATTTTTTTAATTAAAGGAAATCTGAGCTGCTTTTAAAAGAACAGATATTTAAATTCCGACAGAAAAAGCGAGAATTTTTAAATTCCGACTATAATTATGTAATACAGATTTAATGAATTTATGAATTTAAACAAGATTTATTGAATATTATAACCATTAGGACTACTATTATTAACACTAGATCAATAAGTAACCCTTTATTGTTTCCCACCCCCTCAAACTCCTGGTAATTTGGAGTCCAATTGAGCCAAAGCCTGTTTCCTCCGAGAAGATAATGATAAATTCTCATCTTTGATTGAATTTATACCGAAAATACTAGAAATTTTAATTTGTAATGTCCTTATGAATCCTGATTTAGGTAATGAAACAGTAGAAACACCACCTGAAACACCAGCTAAAGAAGATGATGTGAATAAACGAGATTGTGACATTTGACTGATTAAATCTTGTTGTGTGGTATTATTATTATCTTCATCTTGATTATCTTCTAATTCTGTTTCTATGAAATCTTGTCTATTGATTAATTTTAAAACCACAAATATATCAAATAATTTATTTGATATAAATTTCACAATATAAGAAATTGGTTTAGGGAAAAATGTGAATAATGCAAATTGATTTGTACGATCACCTTTAATCAATGTAAATGATGATCCTGTTTCTGTTATTGGTAATAATGATAATTGTCTACCTGAACCACCTTCTTTATAAAAACGAAGATATGTCCAACTTATAATAAGACTTAACCATGAAAGTATAGTTATCACTTTATAAAATGGATCTGAACTAATAATTGATAATATGGTATTTGTTGTAATGATCAAGAAAGGTACTAATGAAACTGGTAGTCTAATAAACCCATTCAAGAATAACAGATAATGATTTGGAATTCTTTGCTTTATGGCAACTAATAATGCAATTATAATTGATGATGAACCTGTAATTGGTGATATTGGGAATGATTCATCAATTGAAAGTTTAAATTTATAATAAACAAATGTTATGAAATTACTTATCAAAACATTACAACTTAAATAAGTGAAAAATTCTCTTGACCCCCAAAGTACTTCAATATATCTCCCAGTATAAAGGATTAAAAAAAATGAAATTGTAAATGCAATTAATCCACCTTCTATAAATGTTGATGTGAAAAGAACCCAAGGCATAGTTAACACGTTGGTTTGACCTGGGACTAATGCAATGAATGGAACATATAACTCATGTGGATCCGGTAGATCACTTGGTGTAGCTCCTTCAATACTATGAGGTTTGATACCATCTTGATTATTTATCAAATGGGCATGATCTTGATCATGAGTTTCACTTGTCACAATATGAAGATACGTAGCGTACCGTAGAATGAATGAGATCAAAGAGCAGACAACAAGGAGCGAAAGAAATAATTTTGTCACTGGTGGCACACTGTTTCTGGCCATAATTTATTGGTGGGTATTTTATTGGTGGTTTCTTAGTATTTGTTGAATGGATTTGATCAATATCGGACCTTTGAAACACTGAAAAAGAAGCAACAGGATGAGCTTGGTGCACCGGATTTGATGAGAGTAGCAGCTAAGCGAGATAACCAATAATTAAATAAATGTGATCCTTTATTTTGTCCACTTTTGATTGTGTTCTTTTTGTTTTCAACTGTTTTGATTTGGGTTTGATTTGTTTACGTGTGAGTTTAAATGCGCGAAGTTTTTTTTTTACCCTTCTTCAAAAAAGCATCGAAACATCACCAGAATTACAAAACTTTTGATATAGCGGAAGTACAAGGAATAATATAGTTGTTATCAGTATTATCATGTTCTCTAGATCATTCTCACCGTTCATACGAAGAAATTTGAGCTTTCAAACCGCTCCAAAAGGTACCAGATCCATCTCAGCATCTTCTATAGTGAAGAAGTTTGATAAATCAATGCTATATCCAACTATGCTCGTTGTGCTCTTAGGTTCTCAAATTATGAATGTTATGAACATTCAAACTTCATGTGAAGATATGGAAAGACGTTATGATTTGAAAATATCCAAGATTGATGAATTAATTGAAAGAATTTCTAAAGGTGAAAAAATTGATGTTCAAAAGGAAATGGAATTAGTTAATAAAAGTTTTGAACGTAAGGCAAATAAAATTAATTTAAGATCAACTTCTGATAAAATTGGTAGACAATTTGGTAAAACAAATACAAATACAAAAGATTTAGAATTTGATGATGATTTGAAAATTGATGATGAATTAACTGATGAACAATTGAATAAATTATTTAGTTTTGATTCAGATCCAACAAAAATTCATGAAAAAGTAACACATAGTAATAGTAATAACAATTCAAAAGATTCCATAAAGACTTTAACTGATGAAGAATTAAAACAACAAATTCAAAATGAAAAAGATTTATTAAATTATAAATTAAGTCCTGATAGACATGTCTTGGTGGAAAATCCAGGTGATTATGTTGAAGCTGCAAAAGATACAAAAGTATCTGGTTTCCTATAGATTCAAAGATCTTGTATATATATAAATTATAACGATGTTTATGACAAAATTATTCTACAATGTAATCAAAAATTAGAATATATTACATTTCATTCATTAACCCTATATATATATAACTTAAACACCAAATCATTTAGGTGTTGTGCCACTAGTCCCAACTCTAACATCAACAGGACTATTGGCATTTGAACGTGGAATTCCAGTTTGTAAAGGTGTAGGCTGACCTCTAGATCCAGTTTCACTTAACCCGCTTGGACTTTGTTTATTATCGACTTCATTTTTAACCGTAGTAACAGGTGGTCCATTTCTTCTTAATCCACCATTATTACTATTTGGTAAATTATTTGGCATATTCCCAATATTTGGTAAATTTGAATTCATATGTTGTGTCAACATTGGTGATAATGATTGGAAATTAGAATTTGGTGATTGTGAAACATTTGATAATGGACTTTGATCAGTTGAAATTTCTTTAATTAATCCAGGTATATGATTTAACAACATATCAATTCTTTTCAATGCATTAAAAGCATTCTTAGAAAATTTACCTAATTTATACAACAATAATCTATAAACACTTGTATGTTCTCTAAATTGTTGAGCTTCTTGTGCTGTTGGTGATGTAACATATAAAATTGCTGCAAATGTCCCCACAATGGTAAAATTTGAACTTGTTGGTGAATTCCAAAATGCATAAACATGTTCTCTTCTTAATGATTTAACAAAATCAATCACTGCTGTTAATCTTGTTGTTGCAGCTGTTCTACATACTTTGATTAATTCTGGTGGTGTCTCTTCATTTAAACTTGAAATAATTTTACGATGTAATAAAATTTCAGTAGCGAAATATGATAAATGTAAATAAGCATTTGATGATAATTTCCCATTCTTCACAGAAGTCATATGTAATGTTGTTGGTAATGAGTGATACCATTGTCTTAATTGTAATTGTAATGGTTTAGCCAATTTTAAAACTTGTTCAACTTTTGTAATATTTTGTAATGCATTATATGAATAAAAAGTTTCCAAGATTTCTCCCATAATTAAACTTAATTCAATTGTTTCTTTAAATAAATATTTCCCATTTTCAATATCATCAATCATTGATTTATAATCTTCATCACTTTGATTTGTTCTTCTAACTGGATGTTCTGGAAAATCTTCTTCAGTTACATTTCTAACTAACCAATTTCTCCCCAATACAAAATGTGAAACTCTTGATTCAATTAATGCAGTCCATTTTTCTTGAATCCAAACAGCCCATGCTAATCTACGACGTAAACCTCTTTCCCATTTAGGTAATTTCCAATTTTGACAATCAAGTCCTAAACCTAATTCTTCAGCTAATGAAACAACTTGTTGACATAAAATCCAATTATTTTCATTTTCAGAACGACATTGTAAAATTAATAATCCTGCTTGAACTGCACTTAATCTTGGTCTATCTGTAACTTCTGAAAAACTTTTCAATGCAATTTCATATAATAATTTTAAATCTGGTTTAGGATATTGTGATAATGAAGGATCTTGATCCCACCATTGAATTGCTAGGTAATAAACTGAAGCTAATAAAGGTGCAGAAAATTCACGATATGACCTTGAATATTTTTCTAAAAAAACTTTCCTATGTAATATAGGAAATGATGGATGAATTATTCTAAAATAAGTATTGATTAATGATTGACCATGAGGTGAAACTATATTTTCCACTGCATCAACTAATTTATCAGCTTTTGAAGCCAATTCATCTGTATAATCATCTCTTAATATAAATTGAACGTCATTTGAAACTTTTCTTAATGATAATGATGGACTTAATTGTACTTGATCAATTTTATCAAGCCTTATACGATCTAATATTGAATTATCATACATAGAAGATGAACCAACAAAAAATGATGATCTTGGATATTGTAATGTTGGCGGTGGTTGTGATTGTGGTGTTTGACTTTGTTTTCTTAAATTTTGCTTTGTTAAATTATTTGATTGGGTTGGTATTCTTTGAGAAAAACTTGACCCACTTGTTTGTGGACTTAACCTAGGTCTTTTATTATTATTGTTATTACTATCCGCAACATTAGCATTCGTTACCATACCCATATTTCTTTTCAAAGTTGGATTAGAAGGACTTTCGGAATGTGTACATTTAATACCTTTTGTTTCACATTGAACACAATTTATCAAGTTGGGTACCGTTATGCATTTGATTTGTCTTCTTCTACAATGATCACATGGATTATTATTACCCTTTGTACCATTGTTTTCTTGAAATAATGATTGTGGAGGCTGGAAAGGGGATTGTTTAGGTTGTTGTTGTAATGATTTTTGAATGTTTTCAGGATGTAATGGATGATTTATAGGTACATTATTTGCTGGTGAAACTGATCCTGTTGGATTTTGTACTTGAGAAGCTCCTGATTGTCCAGTATTTGGCGATGTATAAGATAAAGGTGATGTGGCTTGTTTCATTGGAACTTTACTTTGACTTAAAAGATTTTGATAATGACTTAACATAAAGTTTTGATGTTGTTGATCTTGCTTTGTAGTACCTGATCCAGTTGGTGTAGGAGCAGATGATTGAGGTATACTTGGTGCAGCATTTGGTTGGAAAAGGCTTGGTGATGGAATATTCTTCTCACTATTCATACTAGGTGATGGAGCAGATAAGAAATTAAGAGCATCTTCACCAACATTTAGGAAATTGAAATCAGGACTTAGCATGTCACTATTGGACCAGAAATTTGTCTGCTCATTCTTACCATCAAGGTTGAGCGTAATGTTGGTATTTGGGGTACCTGCTTGAGATTTTGACTCTTCAGGGTTCTGTGCCATAACTAATATAATGTGAAATGTATCTAATGAGACACTTATATTATGAGCTTATGGGCTCTTTGTTTCTGAATTGCACTAACAACCTAATAAATTATAAGCTTTAAAAAAGAATCTTTGAAGTTTCCTAACCAGTAGCTCTAGCTTCTCTACCAATTGCTTTAAAAAATTGATACTTTCTCCAAATTCGAGTTTTCCTAATGTAAATAAATATGAGCTGGAAACACACACACAACGGAAATTCTTGAAAGCACGAGATCACTAGAAGTGCACACACAGACGTTGAAGACTCACACAGAATTCACCGGTACGTATTATAACGAATGCCTATTCAGATCAAACCAGGCCTTGATTAACAGTTGTGGAGCTGGAACCGTTATACAAAATTTGTTTTTTGTTTTCCTTATCATCTTCGCTGTTTTTAGTTTTTTTTTCACCATTATTACCAAGACAGGGACTACACCCGAACACCTCGGTCTCCGTTTACTCTAGAAGGCTAAAAATACCCAGAACAGAGACTATTGGGGACTGAGTCCCTATTTATTTAAGACTAAAGTTCAAATTATTCAAATTTATATTCTCAAATTCGATCAATTTCTACAAATAATAGTTTATATAATAAACTTTTAGATTGATAGGAAAAGCTAATATAATATGATTTTGTTGATATTTAAGCATATGAATAATGCAAAGTTAATACATGCTGTATATGGTTTCATCAATTTACAGAGAAATTAAAAATGAATTATATTCTAAATATAGCTGTTAGCTCTGACATATTAATTGATTGTAACAGTCTCAACAAGACCCAATTGCCTTGAGCTTGAACCAACATAAATTTTATAATCACCTCTTAAGACTTTCCAAGATTGTGATTTAGTATCCCAAACTGACAAATCTTTTCTAGTCAATTCAAAAGAAACAGTTTGTTTGGAACCATCATCTAAGAAAACTTTTTCGAATCCACGTAATTGAACTGGAGGTGTTGGGAATTCATCTGAATCTGGGAATGAAACATATAATTGAGGAGCAAAACCACCACCTTGAGGACCATTATTACTAACTGTAGCATTGACAACATAAGCGACATCCCATAAATGTGGATTACCACCTTGTGCACCACCAGCTAATGAAAATGGACCATCTAATTGTTTAGTGCTATAACCTTCTGGATATT